CAAACTTCTAAGTGAGAAGAGGGGAGGTGGAACCAAAAGGCAGTTAGAGTAAATCCAGCCAAAAGGAGGATTATGTGGAAATCACAGTCTGATCATATAGGAAAAATGTGGGCTCCACTCTGTTGGCACAGCAAACTGAATCAGCAACCAGATCCTCCAGCCATGGGGCTGCAGCTGTGTGTGGGAGCCAAGCCCAAAAATCAATACTGCTGCAGCTCGGACTCCGTCTGTCTGTCCCTCCAATCACAGGCCCTGCACTTCATCCAACGACAAAACCTTTCCGAGAATGTTAAACTGATACTTCTGTAGTTGCTCCTATCAAAACATAAACGTTTGTCTTCACAATTGTGCCAGCAAAAGATAAGACACTTATCACCAACGTGCATCAGAAAGATCTGACTCTGAGCTGAGAAGGACTTCCACAACTGTTCCTCCGAGGAAGCCGTGCGACAGCATCTCTGCCGAGGTGACATCTGAGACTGTAAACACTGACGACTGCAGCTTGGAGCTGGAAGTACGGCTGTTAAACAGAATCTGCTCTCTGCCAACTGCTCTGTTTACTGCTCCTTCCAGGCCTGGCACGGACCTATTGTAGGTTCACTGAGTTGGATTTATTTTTAGTTTAGTTTCATATGTTTTTGTTTGGTTTAAAGGATGTGTATCTGTAGATTCCCGAGCCCTGCATGTCACTATCCCACTGTTTGTTTTGTCAGAGCAGAAAAAGAAACCAAGATTTATTAAATTAAAACTGACATGGAACAGAGCAAAGTACAGAACAGCAATGTTTTGCAGGCTTGGTATTTTTTAATTCAACTGAAAGGGAAGATAAAATTAACTTTAGAGCATGAGAAAAGTGGCTGCCTGACATTTATTTACTGGTTGTGGCACAAGTTTGGCTTTAATTGTGCTCCTCCTCAAACCAATCAAAACAAGATTAAATAATAAATAATCTGAAAATGTGAATGATTGATAGCTGGAGCACCCAACGATGTCTTACAAACACTGTGTTAAGATCTACCAAAAGGCATACTGTAGACATGGGTGGTACAAGTCGAGGATGGCTAGGCTGACGGTGAAATTTCATCATGGAGTTTTAGTCACTTCATCTTAGCTAGTTGGACCCCACGCTGAGTGCAGGCGCAAAGAGCTGTATTTCACGGCTGCTGCCAAACGTCCTCAAATTCCTACGAGATTCCAGTGCTGTTCTGGGCCTGCAACTGGAATAGGATTCCACATTCAGCCAAACTGGTGTAATGCTACTAGCTGAGGGTTGGACAGCGACTGAGGGAAAGTGCTGTCATTACTTCACTGACTACAACCCAGTGTCAAACAACCAAAACCTTGGGGAGAACACGCTGTCATACACCTCCACCTTAAGTGGAGCCTGGCAGGCAGAGGAAGGTGGAAGACTCCAGCAGTGATCCGCAGAGGCAGAAACACCAGGAGCCAAAACATCCAAAGGAAAAGGACAGGCCCAGGGAAGTGCTTTTTCATAAATGCCACATCAATACAACCAGTGATGCTGCCTCCACTCCGGTCTCGTCTCCGTCAACACCACTCTCTATACTGCTTGATTTGTTGAGTTCAGCTGGGGGAATTCAGAGCTGTCACCTAAAGGCAGCCCAGAGGGCAGATAGAGAGGAAGGTCTTTGGTTTATTGAGGACGGACGGACAGACGTGTGACTTTACTTTTGCCTGGTGGCAAATCAATAACACAGAGAGAACGGCGGGAGGTGGGAGGTGGAGGAGGAAGCAGTATATGTATGTCTATAAAATTACCAGTCTAATTTAGGATTATTCACTGCTTCAGAATCCGACCTAACACTGATTTCCATTTGTTCACTCTGCTTCTGTGAACGCAGAACTAATGTGGAGTTAGCAGAGCTCAGAGAGAGAAAAAAAAAAATGGATTTCATTGCATCTTCTATAGTACACAACAAGCAAGGAAAAACAAATCTATACCAGAGCAGTAAGATATAAAAACATCACTAAACAATGATTACAGAGAGCTGTTTTACTACCCACTAATACAGCATCAACAATAAAACACCCCCCACCCAACTAGAACAGGATTCTTCAACCATTCTTTTGTCCAAGGACACCAGAATTATATAATAATAATATTTAAAAAAAAAATCATAATAATAAGAATGCAACATTTTTATAGACCCCCTTAGGGGGGCTAAAGCCCTATAATGTAAAACAATATATTAAAAATGTCTTCAAAAAGGGTTTTCCTGCTACATTAGGATCATTTCCTTCCCATTTCTGCTGACAGCTCCCACTCCATTAAAACCTCATTTACTCACCAGTCATACTCTTCACCGAACATTGGCTGTTCTTCCTCTTTCTCTTCGGGCCATTGAGCCACCTGTGAGCAAAAAAAAAAAAGAAGAGGAAAACTTAGAAAGTAGTAAATATAAACACATTTGTGTATTCACTCTGTGATACTTGCATGGCTAAAGAAAAACACAGGGAAATGCAGCCAGTTCAGTATTTCTACTCCTGCTGCTGAGACATCTGGTGATGACGCTTTCATTTTCAACACGAGAGAACAAGACTTTTTCAGAGCTTTTTTTTCAGAAATACTGTTAAAAAAAGGAAAGGTCTTTTCTTAAATGATTTTTGGCAGAGAATTCCTTGTTCTTACACAAGTCTCTTACTAAATCCAAGCAGCAGCAGGGGGAAAAAACAGTGGAAAATACAAATAAACTCCCCAAACAGCTCTAATTATTAGGGAGGAGGACTCTGTGATAACAGGAAACACAGAGGCTGCAGCACAGACACACACATCTGCAGTGACACATGTGAATGGCATGTGAAACACAGATGGGAAGTGGCTGCACTGAGGAATTAAGGAAGTGCAGTGATAGAGGATGGAGAGGGTGAAGTGAGTGGAGGGAGATGTGTTTCTCAAAGGAGAGGGGGGGAGGGGAGGGGGTTGGTAAGCTCTCCATGTCAGTGTTCAATGGATGTGTTTAGAATCCCAAGAGGTCAGCTCTCTGCTCTCAGACTTCTCTGACAGCCTCAGTTCTCCTCCCACACCACAGCCCTTTAATAGCAGCTCTGAGAGAAGAACCAGGAGCCCATTAGCATTTCTGGATGAGACACTTTAGGGGTGTTTATTACTGAGAGTGGAGTCACAGTAACAGTTAGACAACTGTTGTGCATCTGCACCAATTCCAACCAAGTCTGGAGTAAAATAGAATTAAGCAGAAGAAACTCCTCCTGGAAATATAAACATTTCTCTACATGGATGGTGTCTTTTCATCTACGTATCTATCAGCTAAAAAAACACCAGCAGATGTCTACACTCAATATCACTACATGCTGCTGCTAGCAGTGATGACCATCACACTGTCAGCCGTGTGATAGTTCTTTGAGCTCAGGAAGCAACAAGTTGCTGCAGATGTGAACGTAGGAAAAGCTGAATCGAGCACTGACTTTTCTTTATTCGGGCTTCAGACGCCGCGGTGACAGTTACAGGATCTCTGCTGCTCTCTGTAGACCCATCACCAACCCTGACACAACCTGCAGCAGCAGCAGCAGCAGCAGCAGCAGCAACAGCAGCAGCAGCAGCAGCAGCAGCGACAGCAGCAGCAGCAGCAACAGCAGCAGCAGCAGCAGCAGCAGCGACAGCAGCAGCAGCAGCAACAGCAGCAGCAGCAGCAGCAGCAGGAGCAGCAGCGACAGCAGCAGCAGCAGCAACAGCAGCAGCAGCAGCAGCAGCAGGAGCAGCAGCGACAGCAGCAGCAGCAGCAACAGCAGCAGCAGCAGCAGCAGCAGCGACAGCAGCAGCAGCAGCAACAGCAGCAGCAGCAGCAGCAGCAGCGACAGCAGCAGCAGCAGCAGCGACAGCAGCAGCAGCAGCAACAGCAGCAGCAGCAGCAGCAGCAGCGACAGCAGCAGCAGCAGCAACAGCAGCAGCAGCAGCAGCAGCAGCGACAGCAGCAGCAGCAGCAACAGCAGCAGCAGCAGCAGCAGCAGCGACAGCAGCAGCAGCAGCAGCAGCGACAGCAGCAGCAGCAGCAACAGCAGCAGCAGCAGCAGCAGCAGCGACAGCAGCAGCAGCAGCAGCGGCAGCAGCAGCAGCAGCAGCAGCAGCAGTAGCAGTAGCAGCCTGCCTCATAATTCAAGCCCAGAACAAGGGCTTTGCTATATCAATAATGTAATCCCTCTGGGCTTCCCAAGTTCAACTATCCCAATCAGGTCAAAGACACAAACTATTCATTTGCAGTGATTAGAGTATACTGTCTCCTACATGACAATTACTTGATCATCTCAGAAATGACACAGTTGTATATTCAGTTAACTCGTTGGTGAAGGAGCAGACTGACGTGTCTGAAGACTGAGATCGAAACCAGATGCCACCTTTCACCTTTCCTCAAAAACAGAAAACTGACATTAACAGTAGGGCCACAACTTAATTATTTATTTACCCCTGTGTAACGTCAACTCTTTAGGTTTTTGCTGCTGTGTAAGATGTTGGAAATCTGGAATAATACTCTCGAAACCTCGCCTTTAACCGAAACGATGCTGGATACTTTAGTATTTTTGAAAGGGAATGAGACTTTTTGCAGGTCGGGACTTGAATGTGCAAGTCAGGCATACCAAGGAGCTTTTAAATTTCCAGCTCTGATGGAATACAGATTGCAACACATCTCTTAATGTGCACGTGCCTGTGAGAAACCTGATCCAACCTAACACAAGCATGCACATACTGTACTTTGTCTTCCCTTCTCTCCAACACAGGGGAGATTTATGACGGGGCGACGAGTGGGAGAGGGGTTTGGTTTGATTTCTGTGTTCCAATCTGTGCACATGTTGCACGGCGGAGCACGTGTTGTACAGCCCAAAACAAATAGAGACCAGAAGAATTGGCAACGTGGGCCGAGAAGATGACACAACAAAGACTTACAGTGCTGCCTTGAGAAAGCACTGATGGGACTGTGGAGTCGTTCTAGGAGGAGCAGCTCCTCACCCTGTACACACTGTACCAGCTGTGTGCTGCGGGTACAGTTCACCTGCTGACTGGCTAAAATGCACTCTCTCCTCCTCCTTCTGCTGCACCCACCCAGACTGGATCAGTGACAGGTTCTCCACCTGTGACACTGTCGGTGACAGTGGAGTGTGACTTATGGATAATTGCTGAGAATTGTCAGACAACACAGCCACCTCATAAGACTAGACTATTTTAAGAGAACAGATCTTATTAAGGCAAGAGCTGCAACGATGACAGCAATCAATACAGAGAGGGAACTAAACATGTCCTTGGAGTCTCATTTCACCCCCAGCCCACAGTTGCACTGCACCCATTTGGTAATTAAAAAAGATGAAAAAGTCGTGCATGCGGCATGGACATACAGAGGAAACACAACATACATCAAACACGTGTACTTCCTGTTAAAATCTCCTCGCTACTGACTTTTTGTGAGATATCACACACCGGGATGTTCCTTAGTTAATGATGTAACCTTGGTGAAATTCCACGCCAGTGGTCTTCCATGATTCTCAAAAACCTCGAGATAGTCCTGGGGCAATTTGACAGACCCGTCATCAATCCGTAACAATGGGAATAAAAGGTATTTGGCTTTAAAGAAAATCAATAGATGTGCGGAACTTTACTCTGGAGAATGCACAGCGATCAGAGAGAGAACTTTGTTCTTATGGAAACCTGCTGACAGCAACTTCTGTGGATTATGTAGTCTAACACTGGGACTATCTGGCAGGATCAGAATTTAACGAGGGCCGGGGGCTTAAAAATCTCCCATTGAAGTTTTTGCAATCGCCTTTGAGATTTGCAAAGTCTTTCAATACCCCTTTAAATTAGTCAGAAGAAAAGTACTGTATTTCCTGCTCAGAATGCAGTTGGGGATTCAGATGTTGAAACACAAGAGTGGGGGAAAAGTGTTAAGGTTAAAAAAAAGTCAGGAAGTAAAAAAGTGTACAGTCTTTGTTAGGTCACAGTAACTAAGAGGACCAATATCAACACAACAACAGCTGTTCATTTCATAAACCGGTAAAAAGCGGTGTGTTTAAACTCTTCCTCGAGTACTTTTGGCATATTGGGGTCGGTTTGAAAGTGCACTTTTTTACCGTTCTCTGTGAAGCTTGTTCTGGGTCTGCACGTGAAAAAAAGTCAATGCAAAAAAAAAAAAAAAATGCTTTCCCCAGAGATTTCTGACCTCAGCAATTCCAATGCATTTGACAGGGTCTTTATCAGGTATGGCCCAGTTGTCTGTGACCAGCTGCAGCACTTTTGGTCTTTTTCTATGGTTTCACCATGCCACCAGAGGCTTTACATCTTTATGACTATTAGGGGTAACTGAAAACTAACTGTTTTCATTCATTCATTTATGTAAAAAGAATCACTTCAAAAACAATCCCATTTATTCAATGTTGAATATTTGCACATTTGTTCTTTTTAATAGAAAAAAGGAGTGTCTAAAAGTGGAAAACTGCAAAAAACAAAACAAAAAAAAAAAACAAAAAAAACATTCTACCTCTTCCTTTCCTAGACATGCCCAGTATCGGCTGGTTAGAATGTATAAAAGAATTTACATTTAAAGGAGCTAAACTAGTACAAAATAAACTAGAAACACCTTCAGATAAAACAGATGGCGCTCCTTTTGTAAGCAGCCCTCGTGCATCCAAAAAAGGCTTTAAAATGTTACTCTTAGGGGTGGGCAGATTGACTGAATTGGGGCATTTTGAAGGGACATTTAATAAAATTTCCCTGGAAATGATCCAACATACCCAGAAACATATTTCACATGGGTAAAAAATGCCCCTGTCCAAACACATTATCTGCTACCATGCAATTTGCCGGGACGTGCTGCGGCTGGATTTTCTACATGTCATTTTCACTAATACTGAGAACCCAGATAAGGTTTCCTCTCCACTTATATGTGGCACAAATCTCTGGGATGGTCACGGTTTAATAACCGTGTGCCCAGACAGACACCAAACAGACATATAGGAAGTGACATCACCGATATATCTCCACTTTTTAGCTTGTGTTTGTGAACACTTAGAAAAGTGGACTCAGAGCTGAGGAGGAGCTGCTCTGTAGCTCAGAGTCACAACGCAGACACCGAGACTCATCCAGGCAAACAGTGTCAGTGACAGTGTCTGAATGAGTCTCACTGTCCTCTGCTGGCTGCTGAAGGAGACCTTTGTTGGCTCCATACACTGCAGGACCACAGCCTGGTCTGTCTATATGTCTAGTACTGTACATGCAGTACTAATGGACACTTTGTTCCAGCATGAGTTTCAGCCACAGTGTAAATTACAGACAGGGAGCTCCATGGGCATGGAGCACGCTGCCATGTGAACGCCAGACAACTCCCACTGTCTAAATACACAAGTGCACTGTAAACTGCGCACAACCAATAATAAACATGCAGTTAAGTCCTCAAGCCCATGGAGTACAGTTGGACAGGTCCATTACAAAAAAAAGCCAAAGGACTTTATTAAATCTGGATTTAGCTGATGTTCACTGCATGTGTACACACACACACACACACACACACACATTTTTAACCCTGAAACCAACATTATTTTTCTTATTTTGGCTCTGAAATGTCACAGCTGGTAAAAGTGATAAGGGTATGGCTGTAGGTTTTTATCGAAATTAAATGGATTATGTATAAAAACAACAATTATCTGGCTATAAATAATAATGTTAATGTGGGCCACACAGAGGCAGAAGTGTTTGGGCTCCTGCCTTTTCATTTTTCCCTGAAAAGAATTAGGTTCTAGAGAACGATTATATAAATGTGCAGGAAACTCAATTGTTCACAGGTGTGAATGTGAGTGTGAATGTGAGTGTGAATGTGAGTGTGAGTGTGAATGTGAGTGTGAATGTGAACTGTCCAGCGTGAAGTGGATTGGCTCCAGCCCACCCTCAACCTTGACTTGATGAATCCGCAGCAGTAGATGAGTGAGTGAACAGTGTATAGTCAAACTGTAAGTTCAAATGTGATGGATTTATCATAGCCATACAAATATTCTGTGTGATTAAAAGTGAAACTGTGTGAACAACACAGGCAGCCTGTAATGACTTTCACATGTCTACTGCACATGTAGTTTATAAATGAGAAAGGATGTTGACACCTTATTTGGAGTGGGTGCAAACAAAAAAATAACAAAAAAAAAAAACAAGCTTTTTTTTTCAAAAATCTTCAGCATATATTTGTTAAAATGTCCATAGATGTAAAGAAAATATCTTAACATGAGTAAAAACCACATACAAATTTGAATTGTGAAATATTAACATTTCACATTATTGGGCAAATAAACATTAATGTATTTGTTTCAATTTTGAGACCACAATAAAAATTTAATATTTGGTTAATCTATATATTTGTTTATTTTTTGTATTGTTCATAATTTATATGTAACAGATATATTTGTTTAATTTGAATGTACTAAGTCTTATCCTATAGTATTTGAGTGTACCTCCAGGTCTCTCATCTATAACCTACCTTCATAGCTCTGTGAATATGAAATGCAGCTTCTCATTACCTCGGGGCTGGAGAGAGCCTGAGCAGGTTTATTAAACACAGTTTTGATCCTGAATTTATAAGCAAATGCACTATCTGATCCACTTTGGAGATTCCGTCTGATTATCTCAGTAATTAAGTCATTAGAATAGCTATTGTAACCGAGTTTATCTCTACAGGAAATGCTGAGTGAACGGCGTGGTCTTCTCTCACACACGTCTGACAGGAAACCCTTCAGATGATTGCGGAGGAGGAAACACATCAGCACCAAAAAGAGAAAGAGCAAGTGAGCAGCCCTGCGTCATCTCAGATGACACAGTGGCAGAACTGAGGCTGTGATCGCCTGATCAATAACTGTCCAACCAATAATGCATCCTAAAGAGCCGTCAGGCCAGAACATGGCTGTTGGCACGGAGTACATTACAACAGAGGACAGAAGGAGACACATGAGGACAGAAGGAGACACACGAGGACACAGGTAAAGAGACAAGAGGCAGCCTCCTCTGAAGGTTAAAGATTATTTGTCTCTTTGATCCAAAGACCAAACATTTCACTCAGTGCCACAGAGCAGCTGACCGACTCGTTTGACCGGAGATCAAATGGCAAAGACAAACACAGCATCGACGTTAAAGACTCCTGTCATCAGCCTGACAGCCTGGGATCATTGTTGTACACAGTGTTTATTTGGTGTGCAGGTGTCAGGCACTGAGTGATCCACTAATGTACTACCAAGGAAGCCTGTCCCTCCCACATCCTGGAAAGAGATGGATACTGGACCTGGTATTTTGGTATTGCATGTTTGTCAGCGGTGAACAGTTCAGAGTTAGGAGTCTACGTTTGGTCCAGCCAATCAGGTCTTGCAGTCCATGGTTGACATTCCACCAACTACCTGTTAGCTTTTTACTGCATCAAATGTCTGCTGGATTGACTGCAGTTAGATCAATGGCAACTTTTAATCATTATTAAAAAATATTAAACACCTTTTAATGAAATAATTAATAATTTACTATTATTTCCATTCCTCCTTTTAATTAAATTTTTTTAGACATGTTTATGTTGTCTATCTTTTAAGTATTTGGACGTTTGTGCTATGATTTACCAACAGTAGCTTTTCTATGTCATATTTTAGTTAATTCTTTCTGATATGACCTGTTTTTATCTCAGTATATTTTAGTATCTAGGTCAACTTTGGGCTAATTCCTATATTTTCCTTTCTTCTTGGTAAACATTTGCTTTTGGTACAATTTGTTTTAGTTCTTCATATGTTAATGTTGTAGCTTTTTCAAATATTTGAGCTTCTTCTTGACTAGTCTCTAGCTTTATTTGCATCAGTGACAGACTGGCTGTTTCATCTTACTGAGGGTGTTGAGAATTGTCTGGATTTGGTAACCAGTTAAACAAAACCATATCTCATGAACTTAAATAAATAATAATAAATAATAAATTCTATCATTTTGAATTGGGAGGAAGGTGTCTCCTACAGAAATCCCATGATTAAAGGAAAAATCCCTGTGTTTCATCCACCAAGAGTAAAAATAAAATTGCCAATAACAAATGGAAATACCTGAAATATATAATTTCTGATATGTTTCAGGGCTGAAGAACCTCCACATTTACCACGTGTGGTCGTGTATTTAATCCGTAAATACCTAGACTGTGTTGTATATTCCATCTACACACTGGTAACCCTAGCATCACTTCAAAGAGTCACAGCAGTTCAGAACAACAGTCTGTCAACACACAGATGTAATAAAATCCTCTGTCGTGACAAACACAGCACTTATTCTGACAGTTTGGCAGCAACTGTTTGGGAGACCGAGCCCCCGAAAAGCTTGATGCCCTGTGCCTTTAATTATCTTTGAGGTGAAAATCACCGGAGACAACACTTGGTGCAGGTGTGAGAGCACTAACGCAGACACACATCATACTTACACCCGGACATTTGAAATGAAAGGAGAAGGCCATGATGCAGCCAACCCTACCACCAGAGTCAGTACCAACTGTCCCCCAGCGACAGAGCTGTTAATCTCCTGACAGGTGTCCGTGTTAGCTGAGGAATCTATCAAGGCTCCGGATTGACTTACTTTACATCGGCCTGTAATTCATATGGAGACACAGGGGAGTGGAAGCTGATACTGCATTCCAAGCAGCCAGCTTGGCCCTGCACATGGTAACATTAACATTAATGTTCAAATTATAATTGAGGTTTAAATTAGAGAACGATCATGGCGACTGTAGCATTAATGGTCTCACGTGAAAACTTTGATCTCAGAATGTTTAGGTCTTAAAAGAAGCTATTTTAGTTTCCTAAAACAAGAGAGGTCAGGTATTTTGTGTGGGAACAGAGAAACAGAGCATATACTGTAGGTACTGCTCTCTTGCCTTCAGGGGGTGCTGCAAACACTTTATAATTGCTCAGTCCATGAGTAATGTCCACATGTAAACATATTTATGGTTGCACATAAACGTCATCCTGTGATGTGCTTTGGAAATCTTTGCCTCAAAGCTAATTTCCTAACTCTGACTGACTGCTTATTAACGTCTATGTTTTGGCATATTTTTACTACTGCAAGATTTTCCATTTTGATCATTTTTTAAAAAACCCTTTGAAACGTTGTAACTTCATTCATTTTAACGACATTACCCTTTATTTTCTGTTTTGATTACTGAGCTAACCTTTCTGCTTTAGGTTTAGATTTTTCTTTTACCTTTTGCCATTTGATTTGTTATTCTGCTCATTTGAAGTAAACTAATCTGTGTGACCTCTTATATCATAGCAATGGGATTTGATAGCTTTTTGTAATAAAGTTACATTTTACAATACATGCTTAACAACTTACATCTGGAATCTTATGCATTACTTTTCTGACCAGTTGTTCGTATTTTTAAAGATAATTACTGTTTTCTTAACAGCTAAAAAACAGAGAACCCTTCCCATTATTGTATGGATGTACAAAGGGCATCTGTTTCCTTTTCCCCAGAGCGTTACAGTGAGTCCCATTTTTAATATACGGTAGTTGTTTTCCCTAAATTGTCAAAGCATTTTGTGAATTAAGTGCTCTTCTCTCCTAAACCCAAAGCAGGCTGATGATGGCCGATAACCCTTCCTTGTACCCAGAGGCCTCTCCCACAAAAGGGGCCCCTTCCTCAGGCAGCGGCACTATAAGAGGCCTCATTTCACTAATATTATGTTTTCATTAATGAAAAGGGGCTTTAAACACTGCCGTGTTTGTTTGTGTCTAAGGCTTTTTTAAAAGGGTCAAACACAAACACAGGTTTGATGTCAAGGTCAAACACAGGTTTGCCAGGCTTAAGTACGTTTGACGAATGACGAAAGAGAAACTGTACGTTGTTTAATTTGTCAGGAGGGGAAAAAACGAGCCGGAATCTGGGCATGTGAAAACAGTGAGCGACATAAAAAAGATGTAGATAAGGAAAGACAGGAAAGCAGACTTAGGGTTTCCTCAGAAAACCTCTTCTGTACAGAACATAAACATACAGAGACAAGAAGTTCATAAGGACAGAGAAGGAAAACAAAGGAACCAAACGTCCCACTCACCGTTTCTCTTCTCCCTCTGATGGGTTAGAGTCCTGCTCCTTGGGCATGTGTTCCATTCACCTTAATTCCATCCAGCAGCCAATTATGAGAGACTGAGGCAAGCCCCACCCTCGGATGCACGCTTGTCATTCGCCGGTTGGGAGGGGTCAGTCAGTGAAACATGACAGGGTCCCGTCCCTGCTGGGAGGGAGAAAAGGGTCTACAAAATGGAGCAGAGCCCCCTTTTGAGGATAACGGTTAAGCAGATTGGTGAGAAGCAGCAAGATATGCAAGTCGTTGGAGGTTTGACTGGGGTTAATGTGCAGGCCTGGGGGGCCAGAGAGGGCTGGAGGTGGATGTTGGTCTCAGGAATATGGCGGGTGGAGAGTGATCCAGTCTGAAAGAAGAACAAAGAAGAAAGCCCATGGTGAGATGACAGAGCCAACAAAGTTGAAAGGACTCTGACACTGTTTGGTCGGAACTCCAAACTAAATGAAAGCATAACAACGAAGGCTTCTTTGGCCCCATCAGGCTCCCTGTACACAGTGTTACAGTATTACACACTACAGGAACTATCAAAGTGGATTTCAGTGCACAGAGTGTCCTGAAAGCAACCAGAATCCACTCGTGGTGTTTGAAAACTCGCCAATCACCTTTTTGAAAAATGTTAATACCTTCATCTCATGCGCAGATCTCACATTGTAGGTTCAAATTATTATCTTACAGTATATCCCGAAAACAAGATACAGACCTTGTGTGCAAAAGATGTACATCATGAGTTTACCAGTTCTTATCTTGTGCACAGAGACAAAAACATAGAAAACCTGACATGGAGGGTATGGACAATATGCACTACATACTGTAAGTCTTCAAAGAAGACTCAACAGGTGAGGTAAGACATCCTCCTACTTTGATTTTTACATTTTACAATCCAAAAATTTGACTCCTTTACATTATCTTTAAGGTACCCTTCAGTTCTTCAGGGTCAAAGATAATGATAGTCCTCAGAGATCATGCATGTGTCAAAATCTGTGATCCAATCTGTTGGAGATTGGAGGTTTTGTTGTTCTGTGGAACCTTAAGTCTTGTGGGAACACAAGTGGCCATTGTCCTGCAGAGCCATAATAACCAATAACCAAAATCCAGTAGTGCAATTATTTTAAGTCTTTGTGAAGTTTAAGGCACATTGAAATGATCACTGTGTTGGTCATGTATGTTGAAGCCAAGTGAAATTATGTTCACTAGCTTCTTCTTTGAAACCAGTAGATCACCTGCAGAGTGTCAACATGTCACCACAACCTGCAATAGAGGCAGCTCTGTCCAGTGTTGATTTGGGGGTCTATGGTCGGAGCCTGTGGCATAAATCTGTAAATTATGCAGACTACTGTGATTCTTTCAAAGGCTCATTTAGATTTGTTTTCTGTATGAATGTCTCAATTAGACACAAAAACAACTGCTGGTTTGTTCACTTAAAATGTGGTCAACACGAGCTCGTTTTCAGATTTGACTAATTTTGACATTTTTGAAGGGGGAGACGCTGCCAAGCTATGAATCATGGTGATCTAAAGCCCTGCAAAGGCCTGATAATGAGAGTAAATCCCTGCCTGCACCTTTTGCCATGTGCATTACCTCACCGCTGAATCCCACTGGTATATGTTAAATTGCAACTTAAATTGTTGCTTTATATTCACCCTTTGCTTCCCATTACTTCCCAGAGCTAATGCAGAGTGTGCTGGCGGGAACACAGTGCCTCTGTCAATTTTCCCCAAGGACATTGTCTACTTACAAAGCGGGCCATGCACAGACACATCAGATTGGCAGTGCGGAGAAAAATATACATTTCCAGACATGTTCCATCTTCATCTTCACTTAGTCTCTCAGATTATTCTAGCCATATATCCTTCCATGCCACTGA